ACTTCCAAAGAAGCACATCCTGAACGTTTCAATTGCCGGGGCAACTGGTGAAATTGAAAGGCCAAAAAAGACTTTGGGTATTTGGGTATGATTGAAAGCGACGTTCAAATCCATTATTGGGAGGAAGAATTGGTCTCAAACCTGGTCAGTGGGAGAAACTTTTCTTGACCCTTGGGTTTTGACCCATGGTCAGTTTCTCCTGTTTGGCTCCCTTTTCTTTCGAGGCAACGTGGTGAAGTTCCACTCGGACGAGGATGAGTGCCCCGGCAAAACGCAACGTGCTCCGGTTCTCGCACCTTCAGAGTCACAGCTAAACCAGGTTCCCTATGGCGTTTTTTTGCATATGGTGTTTTTCTTTTCGCATGTGTTTAGTTATTTGTTTCCAGTGGTTGACGGAGTGGTTGACGTTGTGTTTGTTTCTGCATGTGTATTTTTGGCTACTCTGACGCCTTTGCTTGGTACATGTCCATGACATATACTTATACCCCTTGAAGATGTCCCCACCTGAATTCGAGAGCCGCCCTGACTCCTCAGCTGTCATAAGAATGGACCAACCTCGCGGGAGCGTAGTCTCCGTCCCATCAGTCCCATTCTTTTGAGGTGCCGATGTGCCAGAAGATGAAGACCCAGACACGACTAATTCATGGGACTGCCAGGACGGACTACCGCCCCAGACAGATCCCGGACTGGCACCACCCCGGACGGCCGTTGGACGGCAGTCCGGACTGGCAGTCCCATGTGTCGTGTTTGGGAAAAGAAGAAAGTCCTGGTAAAGACAGACTGGACGTTGCTCATCCAGCGGAATCGGTATTTTTGGGATCTGAGGGGATTCATCACATAGACATTTGACAGTACATTTGACATGCTGAAGTGTCATACAATGCCTCACCCACAAATGTTCAAAGGCTGCGGAGAAGTATGGCCCAAATCGAAGCGTAGGCAGCAGATGGATGATCGATTCAAAGTATATAATTCAAGGTTGCATGTTTCATTTGCTTAGTAGGGCTCATGATGGCTCAGGTATATCCGCAAGTAACATTGAATTAGTGTTTCTCATGATTGAAACGGATACCATTCGGTCGGAAAACCCATGGTTTCCCCGACCGAAGCGCACGACCATGCTTCGCACTGCTCCGCTGAGGCGCACGGCCATGCGGCCACAGACCTCCGGCTCTCCGCGACGGACCACCAGCAATGTCCGCACGGCTCAGTGTGGGAATGGAGATCCAAAGACGTGCGAAAATGCAAAGATTAAAGCATGTGATCCTTTTTCTTGGTTTGGGAAGGGGGAAAGGTAGGCGTGAAGGGATGTGGGGTTGTTTGGTTCATCAGGTTTACAGTCGGGAGATGTTATGGTTTAACGGTCCACACCCTTAACTGCAGGGCAGGGGTAGTGGCCCGCCTGTCCGCCAAGTGCACCCCAAAAATTGAACCCAGGTCCGGCGCATAGACATCACTAGATATCACTAAGACCATTCCGGCCTTTCGCAGTCGAAACACATGCGTTACAACAGCTTTGTTTGGGATGAGACGTTGAGAGACCTGCCAGAATTATAAACATTGTATAGTGGCACGATGTGGTACATGCTCATATGGGCGATATATAGGCCGGGCTGTTCAACCTCTCTTGCTTTGTTTGGGATGTGGGGCCTGTCCACGGTCAACAGCTTTCCCCTGACAAGGCCTGGCACGACGTCATGGAGATGTGCAGAAAGGTCTTCACCACCAAGATGAACAGCTTCTCGACGGCAGCACCCACCAGTGAGAGAAGTCCCGCTGCTGAGTATTACTCAATGTTGACTTCCTTTCTAAGCAGTTTTTTCTCACACTGTGAAGATGGAGGGCGGGCTGAATCAGTTTTTTTGGGGGCGCATTGGACTTGACTTGATTTGATTTGTGTCCTACGCCCTCCTCGTCCGTCTTCACACTGGATAGAAGTTTGCTGCTTGGAATCGTAGTATTTATGTTCTATTTCTGCTGGAACATTAATAACACATCCTGCCTGTGAAAAATTCAGCACCCCAGGCACCGTTGTACCCTCCAATCCAATCGGTTCGGACATTTTTCGGAATTTATGGGTGTGTTTTCGCTGACGTTTGTGAAGCCCTAGGGATCCAAGTACCTTCTCAGGTACGGTGATTGGAGACACTGTTATGTAGGTGCCAGGAGGGTCCAGTCGTACCTTCTGAGGTTCGGTACGACTGGATCCCTAGGGAAGGGGTTTTCCCAAAGAGGTCGCTATTCTTTGGCGTCTCGCTCGCACATCCGCACACTTCTGGAGGCGTTGGGTCTGAGATCCTCCAGGACGTCCTTGACTCAGAGCTCGGACGTTTCCCCGGATGTCCGTGCCAGGAAGGAAGTTTGGGGGGCCTTACAGGGGCACTAGAGGTGGAAAATGGGTGGATTTGGATCTGGGTGGTTCTTTCAGATATTGTTTATGCATTACTTTGGATGATTGCGCCCACTGACTTCTTTTGCTTCGTTCGTTGCAACCATCAACCAGATGTGGTGTTGGGCTCGGCTGGACCGACAACTCCCCCATGGTGGCAACTCCCAGAGGCGAATGACATCGAATGACGATGTGAACTGATCCCTCGACCCCGACAGCTTGTGAGACAACGACATTGGAGATTCTCAAGGGCTAGGAAGGAGGATCACCAGCAGGTTTGCTTTTTGATATGCCTTGGAATTGCTGCCAGGAAGATGAAGAACTTGTATTTCAATGTATTTCACTTGTTACTTGTTGCTTTGCCTTTGACCCTCTCATTTCTGGCCCTGTCACGGCCTTGCCTCAGTTGTTCAACACACGCGCCTCCCTTTTCGTCCAGCCGCCGAGGTCCGCACCGAGATGCAGAGGGGGATGACTGCCCTAAGGGAGGAGATCTTCAACATGCTCCAGGACACACGACCACCGCTCGAGGTCTCCGGTCTAGGTGCACCCAGGTGCATGGCAATGCCAGTTTGACCTATGTTTGCCAGGTGTGCAAGTGGATGAAGTTTACCAGCCACCAGGTAGTATGGTACGATTTGATATGATTTGACCTAGTGCGGGTTCAACAACATTCAACAACAACTGAGCCTAAGCTTTATTAGGCTCAAATCGGATTAGGGCCTATCCATCTCCTTTTGCTATATAGTTTAATATATGTGTGCGGGTACTATGCCTTTGAGGACCTTTCTTGCAGGCTCTCCCTTATGCAAGATCCATCGAGACAGAGTAAACAATCATGAACCCAATCTATTGGAGGAAGTTTCTGAGGCTCGGTTGCACTCATGAACATTCCCTTTCGGTTGCCTATTCCTTAAAAGTGGCCATGTCGGTTCAACCTCTCAATTATGCGCAGCAACCTGTCGGGGGCTTCGCTGAAGGAGCGGGAGAAATCCAGCAGCTCACAGATACAGCTCCTTGAATTGGGTGCGATTGTGCAACAAATGCATATACACTCTCCGGTCATTTTTGCACAAATGCTCGTAGAATTTTGGTGGATGTGGATGTTTCATGAATCTCCAGTTGGTGCACCCAAAATCATGTTGGGAGGCTGGAAGGTCCATGTGCTGGGCGAGGTTGCCTTACTCTTCCAAGCAAAAGTTGTGAAGATTGTGCAGCAGGGCCCTAAAAACCGGCCAATCTTCAGATCCACACAGGTCCGAGATCGGGATCGGTAGCTTAAGATCGAGATCGTGGCATATCGTTGCATTTTTTGTGTGTTTAGTCTTTGTTCATGGTGAATGGCCTTTTGAGGTTGCTATCGAGAATTGAAAAGTGTTCCCACCACTGCCTTGCAGTATGTAGCATGTGCCTCCCTTACAGGCAAAGCCTCGTGGCTTTGATAGCCATTCACTCTTGGCATCCAAATTTTCCCCGTGGAAGGACAGTAGACCAAAGCAACCCTGATAGGAGGCTAGGTTTAACTATTATTGCGAAACATGTCAATTTGTGTGCATGCATTTGTTGCATTGACCCCCAAGCAATCCCAAATAGATAGAAAAATAAAATCCCTTTTCAATTTGTTTTGGAAACCGTTTCTACATCTATTTGGGACCACTGAAGTTGGAACTGTTGCTTGATATCTCCCTTGATGAACACCTGGGAGAAACGGGTGATGCGTCGGGTGTCTCCTCAAGCCAGTGGCCAACTGATCTGAGTTCGCTCATGCAGAATATCGACAAGCTGCGGCAGACACTGAGCTGCTGTTGTTTGGGTCGGGGGACAGGAACGTCAGACTGTTGCGGGGTGAGACAGTTTGCAGGCTGCTTTCAGAGCCTTTGCCACCCGGTCTCTTTAATGGGAAAGATAATCATTAAGTGGGAATCATCAAGGCGCGTCTGTTGGCAAATCAACGAACATAACCGGCTCACCACCCCATGATTTTGCTGAATCGCATGTTGAACTCCACATGAAACAATGGCACCGCTATCCAAGAGCTAAAAAACGCAGGTTTCGTGCAACAGAATTGACTGCTGGCACGGTACCCGCGAAGTGCTGAGGACAAACAATTCGATGTTGCTGAGGTTCATGATCGGCATCGTGGAGAAGGTTGTTTTCTCCAACATTGTTGAAGTTGGGTGAGGGCTTTGAAGCGAGACAATCTTCCAAACTTCTGTCAGTGAAGTGGGGCATAAGCGTATTCCGTATTCCTCCCTATGATTTTGCTTTGCCTTTCTGGGTTAGTCCACAACCACGCATCAAATCCTCAAATGGTGTGCCCACCATTGCTGCATGTTGCCTCAAGTAGACAGTTGATGCCTTTTGATGCGAAAAAGGGGCCTTCCTCTACACCGGCACCTTTTCCCAGACCCGGTCGACATTAACGAACCATTGCCTCAGAATTCATTCACATGACGGTCTCCAGCCACTTCATGGGGGGAATTCCGGCAGTTTCGGGGATGTTATAACACTGTATACATAAATGAAAACCCCCCCCAAAAAGTCGAGTATAAATGTGGATTACTTGATCCATCCAATATACTGTAATTCATTCGCATGCAAAATATTCGCCATGGCGTCGTTGTGTCACTCGTCGAAAATGGCGTCCGTCGCCGTGGCTTGCCCCAGCGGAGGGCGGCTTTGTGCCCGGGGAACGTTCCCGGCTCCGAGGCGCAGCCGCAGCTTTGACCGGGCTTATCGTAAGTGGTCAGTGCAGTGGCTGAGTTGTTTAGCTGCTGGAGTGCATCCCAAAAAGAAGTGGAAGCAGCTTGGATCAGGAAGATCTCACGTCGCACGGTCCTCATCACTGATCACCGAGCTTCTGGTGGATGGAGATAATGCGAGTATTGAGTTCATCAAGCAAGCGATGAACCGTTTGAAGGACATGGGCGGCAATGTTCGCACACAAGTCTTTGCCGAACCACGCCGAGTGGAAAACCGGAAGTGGAACAATTTCTTGCGACAGCCTGGCATCACATTCCGATCGGTTCCTCGTTCAAAGGACTACTCGAGAGAACCCAATGATGAGGCGATCGAAGCTGCGATGGAGAAGTGTTCCACACGTCGTGAAGTGCATCGCATTGCGGTGTTGACTAGAGATGCAGATTATGTAGATATCCTTCAGAAGCTTGCGGACACAAAACCTGTTATTTGGTGATCCTTTCTGAGTTCGATATGGGTGTGGCAAAATTATATTCAGAGAAAGGGCTGGAAGTCTTAAAGTTACAAGTCAGTGAAGATAGCAGTCCACGTGTTCAAGCAATCCTTCATGAAAATGGAGCTGGTTCAGTGCAACTGTCAGATCCCTTTAGAAGAGGACAAGAACCAAGTTACCAGAAAAGGTTTGAGCGCGTGAAGTCATTCCTTGAAGATTTGGGCTATTTGGGGCACCCGGGACCGGCATGTGCCAAATTCTGGTTTGCCAATGGTTTAGGACGAGTCATTGTTTACCCCATTGAGAGCTTGATACTTTCAGTGCACAAAAGAATCAAGGCTTCCAAGACCACGTCTTGGCAAAGGAATTCTGATCAGTTGGCCTTTCTGTTGCCAACCTATGGAAGCCGCGGAGCCATTAGTGCTGCCACACGAATGACATACGGAAATGCATTTGCGCGTGCGGCTTTTAGAGGTGGGGGACCTTTTATCTTGAAAGATTCCAAAGACGTGACGACTCAAGCATTGAAGCGGCTTGGCTACCTCGATGAATGGAACACGGACGAATATGAAGCCATGCTATGTTTTGTCAATTCAACGCACAACAAGAGAGCTTTGCGGAAGATGGACTTGCTTCCCGAGCCTTCCGACTCCAGCCTTGATGTGAAGGACAAACTGCGCACCGCCTTTCTTTCCTGTGCACAATCTGGCCAGTGGCAAAAGCCAGCAGCAGTTGCAGGCCAAATGAAGCGCATAGTTGACATACTCAAGAATACAGGTCTCCTGGAGACGAAGGAAACGAGCGGAGAATACTGCAGTGGATACTCCCAAGATGAGATTTCTCAAGCAATCAAAGACTATGCACGAGAGCAGCAGCTCCCTCCGTGCAAGACATTTAACTGCTTGGCCTGGAGAATTCTTGGTCACATTCAGCCTGAAGCTCCCACCAGGCGAGGCACAGTAGAATTCAGGAAGTAGGCACCAAACCTGCAGGCCAAGGCAGCATGCCGCGGACTGCAGAAAACGAGCATCGTCCAGTCCATGCAGGATCCGGAACGATGAAGGATGATGAAGGTCATCGGCATCGCTGAAAAAGCCTAGCAGATTGTCATTTGCTGGAGTGTTGGAGGATAGTAGCCCTTCCACGCTGATTGGATTGCTTTCTGAGCCGGATGGTTTACCATGCAACAGTGCGACATACAAAAGAACATGTGGAAAGCAAGAAAAGCTTAAACCGCCGCAGCCAGGACCCAAAAAGGCATTCTGAGGTCTTTCAAAGCACTGAACAATCTAAAAAGGGTGTTGCTTCGTGTCAGAAGTCATTTGGAGCATCCAAAGACCTAAGGTGCAGTGACTGCCCAATGCAGGCAGTGCGTAAGTGGTATGCAAGCAGAGTATATATGGTTGGTTGATCCCTTTGTTGTAACCTTTGCCTCCCGGTTCGTTCAATGAATGGGAGATGCAATCATCATGAACTGCGGATCATCAGTTTGGCAAATTAACGAACATCAACGAGCACAAGCAGCTCACCCACATGTTTTCCGATTTCGAGAGTGTCCCGGGTGTCCGTTGATTATCCGATTTTATCGGATTTAATTTGCTTTGTCGAATGGAGGTCGAACGGAGATGAGTTCAGTCCTGGGGACATCCTATCATCGGCTTTGGAGTAGCGCATCACAAGATGTCACAAGGAATTGTTGAACTGAACCTCTGGCGCAGTTTCTTCTTCAGTTTGTTCTGAACCGCTGGGCGTTTGGGTTCGGTTCCATGTCTGACCTTAAGTATAGGTCTGAGCAGCTTTGCCAGGAGCAGCTTTCTCGGCTTCTCAGCTTTGAACAGGCCAACATGGCCGCCCGATCTTCACGACTGCACGCTTGGCGTCGCGCGTGAAGCATGCTAAGGAGCACTGAGGAGGGCGTGATGAACATTCAGTTCGACCTTAGCCCCGCCATTCAGGCCGCCTTTTTTCGTTGATGCGAGGATGCCAGGCCACAATGGGTTTGGAGTCAGCGAAACCCACCATGCAAAACTGCTTTTGAGACTGTTCTTCTTCTTCCTTAAAGGACTCCCGGAAAGTGGGGAGGGATGGCTTTGAGCCCCACGGTCGAGCAGCTTCACGGTGTCTCACGCATCTCGCACGATGAACTCCAAGCACCGGAGGAATGTGGTCGCACGGTGGTCGCACGGTGGTCCTGTGATATGACCAGCGATTCGCCATCTTCAAGAGATGTTCCATCAGAGGATGGGCGCTGTGTCATGAGGTTTGGTGAACGTCACTAGGTCATACTAGATCAGTATATAGAACCTCATGTAACCTCATGTAGCCCCCCCCGCAGTCTCATCGACTTTGACCGAGAAAGAACACCTTCCCCCTGCGGAGAACGGCGGGGGACGTCACGTGGGCAACGGTGACGCCACAGGAGATGCAGCGCCTGGAGGAAAAGCAGGTGGAGGTCGGGGGCCTCGGGGACCTTGGCTCAGCGGGCGAATGAGGAGAACGGACGACCTTCATGAGGAGAGCAGAACAGAACACAAAAAGCTCACCTCGCCAAAACACAGCCTATATGGCCTACACCATGTTTTTCAATATGGATTGCCTATCACCCACAGTTACATGACCTCTAGAAGACCAAGAATGAATTCTCAGGCCTCGGCCTCCACAGTCCAACTAGTGCAGATGATTGATCTTGATGGCATAAACGAGGACCCTGGCACTCGCTTCTTGAGCACTTTGAGCACTGGAGCAGATGTTCATGTTTCTATCGAAGGCCTCATCTCATGATATGCATTGATATGCTGTTTCTTTAGCACCAATGAGGCACTGTATTGTTCAATCTGCTCATTTGCACCCTGTCAGTCTCCAGCAGCTTCGTTCCGCCTATGTCTCGAACAGCTGGCCAGGCGCGGCGGCTTTTGGAGGAGAAAGTGGAGAAGGTCTCCCAGCAATTGGCGCAGGTGCCAGAAAGACGGACGCTGCTGGAAGCGCCAGCGCCTGACATGGGCAGTGGAGTGTTTCTCTCTCTCTCTCTCTCTCTCCTTCACGCAACACCAGCTTTTACTTCCAAAACAAATCATATGCGAGCGGCGTAGACGGGGAAGTCTGGGAGTTTCGGGAAGTCTGGGAGTTACGTGGTTTTATTGCCTGGACCAACGTGGTGGCAGTGGACGTGGAACAAACAGAGATGAGATTTGGGATGATTTGGTTGCTGTGGTGTTGTGACTCCAGGTGTTCCACCTGAATGCTTCACTTACAGTAGCTAACCGCAGGTGCCACTGCGATCATCAAGTTTCGCTTCACTAATGTAGGCTCTTGATTAATAACGCTGGTTTTGCGGTGTTTGCCTTGAGCGAGCTTGCCAGGTCCAAGTGCGAGCTGATCTTGAGGAGGAATGAGCAGTTCAGCCATGGAGCTGATCTTGGCAGAGGTTTTCTGTTGAACATGTTTGGTGCGAACAATCATTACGAGATATGACTTCCCAGTGATTCTTAGCTTCGGCACAGCTTGCAGAAAGTCAGACGTGCTTCACATTGAGCTCCACCGTTCTAGCCAGCCCACTGCCAAGAGCTTGAGCCCCGAATCCAAGGAGTTCATCTATCCCTTGTGTCCAAACCTATTGAAAAGGCGTGATGATGGTGTCCTTGGCGAGCCACACATGAAGGGTTAACCGATGGGGCACAGCGGCTCGCCGGGGATTCCTTGGGCCCCTTCTGTTCTGAAATGAATCATTTTTGCACATAAGGCATCCAATTTTGCTATGATTCACGACGGGAGGCCATGCAACATGCAATCTGCCATCAATCTGACATGGCAGAGTTTCTGAGCTTCATCTTTATTCCCACACTCACCGGCAATCATTCTCATCATGGTATATTGTCGGGGACAGCCGCCCATGGCGTTTTTTTTTCTAGTGTTACATTGGCAGGGTTCGCTGCTGGCATTGGTACAACCTGACGTTGCAGCTGCATTTGGCCAATGAGAAGGCAACACCTAGGGAGAGAGACACCCTGCAATGATCATGGTCACGTGGATGGCATATGATGGAAGGGGAGGCTCGTAAGGACGAGCCATTTTCTCATACCCAACAGGTGGTGCCATCCACTTAACCATCATTCTGTTCAGGGACTGGTCGACATCTTCGGACTCATCGGGTAGTGATGAGGAGAAGCTTCAAAGGGTGGATGCCAAGCAGGATCATGCAGACGCTTGGGCCTGTTTTTCCTCTCGCGATGGGAAGAGCATGATTGAAGAGTGGGAAGAGCAAGTACTGTACAGGCAGTATTGTAAGAACGAGTGGGTTGAAAATAGACTGGGCTAATGGTAGGAAGATGTAAAGAACGTAACTACTTGTAGAACGAGTGAGCACTTTCACGGAGCCGCCCTGGAACCGTGCGATACTGTAATGTGTTTTTTCAGGGTTGCTCTCACAATGAGCTTATGGGTGCCCCACGGTCGTTGACTTCAACCATTCAACATCATTCAACCAACAGGTGAGTCGTTGTCAGACGTTGCATTCTCACCACCGAAAAAACGAACCGCTCAGAGAGAGAGAGAGAGAGCGAGCGGCAACCTGCCTAGTGCTGCTCAGATGTGCTGCAGACTCCCTGGAATTCTATGATTGAAAGCACGTCAATTCCTCAGAGTACCTACTCTCCTCCAAACTAAATTGAAAGCAGTATATAGTGAGGGGTGTCCAATGGACTACCCTACACTACCTATAGACTTCCAGATAGAGCACCCCTTGGATGGTCCTGGTAGTGAGTGTCCCTGCAAGCCTGGCAGACAGGTTGTTAGATGGTCGGTTATATAATTCGTCGTGGTCTTTGAGCCTCCTACCTCGCCTCGCGTCTGGGTCTGCCCAGGAAAGCCTTTTAGCAGGAGTGCTCGCACTTAGCACCTGACCGAAGCGTTTGACGAGCCACGGCAGGATAGCCTCCTAGGACGACCGCTTCAATTACTGTCATTGGGGCATTGATGTGAGGCTTACGACTTTGGCACGTGAGAACTCAAAACGCCAGCTTGAAGAAGTGTCCTAGGACATGTCCTCCTGCTTGCATTGCACTGGCACTCATTCCAAAGATGCCGCACTTCACGACTTCTCCTTCGCTTTCCTCCTTGCACTCCTTGCGCCCAGCTTCGGCCCAGGTGCAACGAAGTCAAGACATGCTGGCTGTCTCCCTGGAGAGTGCCTCAGACGAGGCGAAGATCACCTCGAAGTGTGTTGAACATGGACTGGACGAAGCAAAACCCCCAGGTGATGTAGACTCTTAGATGCAGCATAAACAGACAAGGGGTTGATTTGCGACAGACCGGAATTCTGTATGTGCGCGTCCCATATGAAGAGGCTTCACAATCCAATAGTACTATGATTTCACAGGACTGTGGAGACGCTACAGACGGAGCATTTCGGGCATCGCGGCTCGAACGGAGCATCTCGGGCATCGCTACGAACGGGGCTCCTGGCCTTGCTACTAGGAACAAGAAGCCAGCTATTAGAAAAAGCAATCCAATGGACACTGAAGTGTACATTCATGAAACAATGGAACCTGAAGTGAATCCACCAATGGACACCTTGCTATACTAGAAACCTGACGTGTACATTCCATTGGTAGTGAAGATGGACCATCGACGGGTTCGGGGTATGAATCTACCGGCCCCATGGACTCGTCGCCCACCCGGTGGAGAAACGACGCCCGGACCGATGTGAGAAATCCTGTGGAACAGTGGAGATGCATCTCCTTTGAGATGCATTCATCATGCATTTATCATTCATTTAACTCTGAAAGTCGATCAAGGAAGTGTTTTTCTTCGCATGGAATGTGTGGGAGGGGGATGTCTTTTCTTTGCCTAGCTCCACAGGTGCCAAGACATGAGTGGTAGCGGAGGAATCGTGATGACCGCTAGAAGACAGACTTGTAATGACAAGAAATCCCAAATACTATTCGATGCTACTAAATGGAAAAGACACTCTCAGCACCTGTCAGGGTCATTTTAAAGAAAAAGTCTTTGTGTGTGTTGGTTTTTATCTTTTTAAGGGTGCAATGATACCTATAGATCAGATCAGCCTCCTGTGACTCCTGTGGTCGGGTGAAAACCATGCACCATCCTCACTCCAGGCGGCACGGCACAGGGCAAAGGCTGCAGAGGAGTGGAGCTATGCTGAGAGACATGCCGCATGGTACTCCTTGTTCCTTTTGAGAGCTCGACTTGTGACATGAATTACTCACCAGAACAGCATGGTACTTGTACAGCAGAATGGACAGATCTACCTGGTTCACATGGTGCCGGATTTGCACATCCATGCAGTTTTGGGGTGCACGGCTGTGCAACGCAAGGTTGTGCGTCGTGCCCACTGCCGCCGCTCTGGTGCGGATAGCTAGCCATTCACCAGTCAGCAAGCGGCTTCAGCCACCCGTTCTTGTGGCTCTAGGCTTCAGCTGACTGGTGCATAGCAACTATAAGATTAAGATCATTGATCCAAGATTGGAATTCTTCAAGCCACTGCCACTGCCCTGTTTTATGTGAACACCCAGAGGGAGCAGCCAGCTACCAGCCTGGTATATCTTGTTTAAACATGCCGACCACTGGATGCCACTTCAGATGAAGACTTTTCCCCGTCTCCTTCCGCCTGGCTCCACCACTGGAGGGATTTTGACCGAATTCAGATCTGAAGATTCAGAGCTACATGTTGACTCAACTCCAGATCCCCCCCGCAGCCCTACACGTCGTGTGCACAAGTCTTTCAGCACATATGAACCTCACAAATATCCGAGAATGCTGGCAGATGCATGCTATGGACCATGGCTGCGCCTATTTGCGTGGGTTCTATGTGGTTTTCAGAAACTGACGGATGTTTTTTCGTGCATTGATTGACCCAACCGCAACTGAGCGAGGAGAACGCCGAATTGGTGAAGCTTTCCCATCACTTGGGCAGGCGGGCCCATCGCCGGGCGCGTCACGTGCGGTTTGGTGGTTCATGGTTCAGGGTGGCTCAGAGGTGACCATGAAACTGCAAATGCCAAGCAGCCAAACCTGGAGAGAGAACACATAATCACCGAATTATACATATGATATGTTCAGAACCATTCAGAAGCCACGAGTGCCGTGAAAACGGGAACATCAGCGGAATGGTACCAAAGCACGTGTTGTTGTTGTTGTTGTTGTTGTTGTTGTTTCTGCATTTCAGAGTCATTGGGTTTGACGTGTGTACCTGAAAGAGGTTTTCTGGAATGGAGATGACCAGGGGTTAGTCAAGGGGATTTGTTTGATTCAGGATCTTGATTTCTACTCGTAGGGTTAACTGTAGTTTATTAAGCACTTTGGGAGCTGCTTACCCTTTACTTGGGGTTAGCTTATTCATCATCGGTGGACTAATCTCGCGAGGAAAAGCCCTGCTTACCAAAAACACCTTTTTCCTTCGATTTTGATGGAAGGCCTGCTGAATTTTGAGAAGGCAAAAACAGTTGTATCAGAATGGTCTCCTCATTGAAGTGCACATGTGGTCCATGTGTACCACCTGCTCAATTGTTGATCATTGTTTTATCAGATCTTGATATTTGTTTCGTGGGTGATCCCAATTTTGTGTAATATATATTATACTGATACTATATATATAGAGAGAGATATTGTTTTCAGTTCTTGATTTTGATCATTGGTCTATCATCCTGTGGAGAATATGGTCAACGTTGTCAACGTTGACATGCGCCCGAGCATCGCACTTCGCATTTCGGAACCACCGCGGTTTGAAGCGCAGTTCAGGCAGTTCCATCAACGGTTGCAGGTGGGAAACCGATTTTTCGAGCTGGGAGGGATGAATTTGGAGATTTTGGAGCTTCTCTCTTTCTTGTGATCCCCACACAAGTAGATTCCCACATGTTGAAGATGTTGGAAACCATCCTGGCAACTGTTTCTACTACAGGCTTCGTTCGAAGTGGCTGGACGCATCAGATCAACAAACATACAGTAAGTGTTTTTCGCTTGGTTGCCCAACACCTCTGAGGATCCACCGGCGTTTTCTCATGGCCCTGGTTTGGTGGGATGGCATTAGAAGACCAGGGTCCTTGGACTCCCATCCATACGACCGGTCCCAGCTCCCGGGTCCCGGCGAGTCGGCTGTTTGTGGCCGCAAAGAGGTTGATTGTGTTAGGGTGTTTCTTGGGTGTTTGTTTCTATCTGCTATAGGTGTTTCTTTTGGTTTTCAACCTTTACAGTATACCTGGGACATGTTTGCGCAGCGACCCCGATGTCGGCGAGCTTGTCCGAATGTTCGATTTCAGCGGAGCCCTTGTGCTGGGAGCACTGTCTCAATTGGTGCGGACGAAGAGGTTGAACCCACTGTGAGTTCCAACCACCCACCAACTCAGAAGGCTCGTCATGGATCGGACCACATCCGAACAAACAGACGCGCACGTGAGACGGGATAGGGAGACGCCGGGACTGCCACGGGCCCAAGAAGGAGTTCATCAATGAGGCCCTCAAAGTCGTTGGCATTGTCCAAAGAGTCTCATTGTGTCAGCTGATTCAAACCAGGTTGATCACACGATTTTGGGCAGATCGCACCCAATTGACCAGGCAAGCTCCTGTACCATGCCCTTGTATATTCTTATGATGAATTTGTTGAACACATTTAAACAGTTTTGAGGTATATAGATGATTCAGGACCTGACCTGCACCCCTTCCTGTTTATTCCTCAGCACCCCGCACCACACACCGAAGCCAGCGGTCCTTTCCTTTGGGTAGCACCGGCAGGAACCGGTGCACGTGGACTTCGGGGAGGTCCTGCGGGAAGTGAAGAAGACCCACTCAGCGGCTTCGTCGCAGCGGTCCGCGTCGCAGCGGTCCGCGTCGCAGCGGTCCGCGTCGCGGAAACGCCGCCGTCGCCGGCCCCGGACGGGGTTGCCGGGGTCCCGGACGCCAGGGTCATGTGCGTGTGGAGGACTGATTTGATGCCGGTACCATTAGCGATGCCCTGGCGATCCTGGTAGTGATGCCCTGGCGATCCTAGCTTCTTAGTTCCTGGCCTTTGTGAAGATGTGGGCGTTTGGATGGCCAGCTCAACAGTTGGCCAGTGTAGTTTTAGTGGAGAATCGCCAGATGCGCCTCCGCTCAAGGCTGTCTCCTCGGATTTCCGCATGGTTTTGGGTGAGATCGGCAAGATCCAGCAGGCCCTCCACTTGGACTTTGCGCGGACCCCTGGAAGCCATCGCTTCTCTTTTTTGCATTGTGCTGGGTTGGGATTCTAGTTGAGAAGATGGTTTGAAATTCAATTCTTCAAGTCATAGGTTGGGGGCCAACCTTTGTTTGCTGCAAACTTCAGAGAATGCTGGTTGACGAGTTTCCATCAGTTTCCATCACAAGAAATGCCACCTCAGTAAAATGCAGTGTTGCTATGAAGTCATTGATGGAAAGACCATCGAAGACCTGGAACAAAGCTCCCAGCTAGCAGTGCCGGATGTAACAAGTGATTGATCCTAGGTCCTAGACCTTGTAGCCAAGTTGGATGTGTTCTCAGGGTCGGCAGGCGGGGAATTCGTTGAACCCCACTGTCATTCAAGGTCCGCCCCGCGATGATGATCTTACCCGTGGTAGGGTTTGCTGCGGAACCTCTTCCGGTTGGGTGACCGTACTTTTCCTGAGGGGCCCTTAGATTCCAAGATCTCACATGAGTTTTTTCGCTGCCACAAGTTGCCACAAACTGCCACAAGCTCATGCCCAGTGTGAACCAAAACTGGGTGAGTGCCGTTGGTCCTGGTCACAACCAGAGCTTTGGCACCGTGCCACCGTTGTTCCTTTCTGAAATTCCGGTGGAGTTGGGCTTCTTCCGGGACCTCAGCACTGCTGCCATGTCTTAGTCAGTGGGTCAAGCAGAATTGTATCATTGGATCACGCGATACAACTTCTGAAGTCTGCGGGGATGTCTTAGACCTGAGATTCACCTCATCTCATGAGGTCTATTTGCCAAACACTGTGCCCCAAGACAAACAGCTGCAGCTTTAGCTGCCTGAGCTAACATGAGCCAACCAACGATCAACCAGCCAAGAAACTAAGGAACACACGAGCAGTGACACGAGAAAATTGAGCCTTCTTAGAACATCACCAGCAAATTCCAGAAAGTCACCAAAGCCGCTGGCTGTTTCCTGTTCCACCTGCCATCCGGGACGCTGCCGACCTGCCGACCTCCCCCAGCCGGGTTCCACCCAGCCCGGGTTCGACCCATGAAAGATTTCCGGGCTTTGGTGCCCTTCGCTGTGGCCATCCTCTTCATCGTCGTCTATTTCACAGCCGCCGGGGTGCGAATGGGACGTGGAATGGATGCGTTCACGCGTGCGCAGAGGGCGCGCGCGAGGAGGAGGCTGTATACGGAGTGGGCTGGCTAAGACACACACGTCCTCACACGTCTTCTTACCCTCCCTCCAAGAATCAGTTCCAGTGGACAAACGTGGACAATGGCCTTCTGCAATAAGGATTTTCCTCTACAAACCGGGGATTGTCCACTTCCATGTTTGTTTCTTGATCCTTCTTCTAGAAGTCATCCGGATGACTTGCGGGGGGCTGGGAGAACCAGTTGTGGAAGGAAAGATCGCTCACGCAGCTTTTTACTTGTATCTTTGAAAATCCTGGAGCTGGATGGTCAATTTGGTGAAAGATGCCCTCCAAATCAGGGTGCAGATGGGGCGACCAAACTCTCTGGGGTGTCTCCAACATGTCTCCACCTGCCGCTCCACCAATGCCAATGCAGAGACTTGGAACCCGTCTCGAACCGGGATGCACGACTGTACATATATCGTTCCTCGGCAGTGTGTGTGTGTGTGTGGTATCATTTGATGTCAGAATGCTTATAGTTGGAGGTGATTTCTGATCGTTTGCTGAGTTCGATGAGGAATTCTGGATGGTGCCAGTTCCTGGCTGACATAGACTGAATGATTGGCATCATGATCATATGATATATGCATCCAGCTTAACCAACAATCCAATCCACTCCTTCATGGAGCTATGCGTAGATTTCCCATAAACAAACGAACACACATAAACTAGGGCGATCACCACTTCCAAACAATACAGAAAAAACAGTTGTTTTGAGAAACCCCTAAGTATAGAAACTAAATAATATACCATTAAAAAAAGAACCCTCAGAAGTCCATGACCCCAACGCCTAGCTTAGCAGGGGTGCTTGCTTAGCTGTTTCGCTCAAAAACGTCCGAGCTCCGGCGGCCTACCTCGTTCCCCTGATCCTCAGGTGCTGCTGGTCCGCTTTGAAGACACCTTAGTGGCCCCGCCCACGCAGCGCGTGACCCGGGATATCTCCGTGGTCCGACTGCCTCGGCTCTACTTCTGCCCGGCGGACCGATACCGACACGAGCCGCGCCGGAGTGGACTGACCGGTGGGACCGGTGTGAGGAGTGAGGAGGACCAAAACCACTTGGAAAAGACACGATGAGAGCTGTAAGAACGATAAGAAAGCAAAAAGGAAGAACGATAGTAAGAACGATATAACGTCAAAAGTGTTTTTGGGGAAAAGGTAGAGGTATTTTTGCACATGCTCACATGTTTTCTTTGTCTCACATCTGGTGGGAGGTGGGGAGTAGATGACACAGAAGGAATCACAAGGGCGAAAAACTCCTTTTAGACTCCCTGCATATGGAGATGTAAAGCCATTCCGCTAGAGGGGTCACCAGCCAACATTAAACCAGAGGGTTCAGGGGCATTCTGATCCTGAGGAGCAAGTTCATGCTCATTTTCAGTACCCAGACCCTTTGGAGTGTGTAGATGGTCAATGGGTCTCAGCCAGAGTCACCCTTGTCTCGACTCCCATTATGTGGGGCCAAGCAGAAAATCGGACCCAACCTGAAGGATTATGTAGGTCGCTGTTTGGGCTTTCAAAATTTTGTTTGGTTCTATTTTTCAATCTGCTGGCCGCTTTTTGGTTGAGCCTCTGGTGTTTTTCATGTCGCCTGGATCCCACGATAGGGATGCGCGTACCAATTGTGGTGAGGGTTACGGATTGTGGTGATGCATCTGTAGATGGACGTCACGGCACTTAGCGATGGTTCACCGACTCAGGATCGCTTGATTTGGAATTCCTACGACTGCTCATTGAACTACAAGATGCTGAGATGCACAGGGAGTGCATGAGTACACAGAGCGGATCGTTTTCTTGTTGTTGTTGTCGTCGTCTCTTTTGTTGCTTATTTGTGTGGTTCATTGTTTTTGTTTGTCATGTTGTTTTTGTTATTTGTCTTGTCCTTTTGGAGCCGTGGCATATGGTGACATGGCCTGCCAAGGGGCTAGCTGGCAGTTGGGCCAGCAGCCAATGAGGGAGGTTGACCAGCAACACAGAGGGACATGGCTCTATAGGAGCTTGGTGCAGCCATGCTGGTGTGGTTATAAGTTATAAGCAAGTTGAAAACTGTTTTTTCATCCTATTTCAAAACATGTATTGTTTGCCATCCTGCACTTATGAGCTACTGGATGTTGACCAATCCGATTTCCATGCCAATTCTCAACAGACCATCAAGCTCGTTGATATCACTTGCCACTTGTTGGATTCGTTTGACTTCTTCACGCCTAAGGACAGAGAGTGACAAGTGCAGCGCACGGATCCAGCACTTTGGAGGTGCCGGTCGGTCGAGCGCGCCAAAGGGTGTCGCCACCACGGTCTCGCGCGACGGTCTCCATGGTGGGGATCGGTCAGATGTTGGAGCAGACAGGAGACCGGGTGAGCCCGTGATGCCTGTTGACACAAAAGGAGAAAGAAGCACCGTGCGTTTTACGCGCGTTTCGATTGGTGATCAAGGCCACATGTTTGGCAAGCTGCCGCTGCCGGAGCTAAGGACCTGTATAGGAATTCTCGCTGGCTTGTCCAGATTTTTAAGGTTCAGGTTTGGGTTGCATCAGTTACATCTCAGGACTGGGTAATTAGCCAAGGAAGTCAATTGTAAAACACATATGTATATAATGCACACGTCTTTTTGGGGCTCTATTTTGATATGAACATCTGGCGCAAGAAAGATGATAGAATGTTGCACCACCAAGTCACCTGCAAGCCCATGGTTGATGTCCTTCAACCAATCCAACCCACAAAAGGCTGCGTTGTTTTCTTTTGCAGGACAGGATGTTGTTTGCTTGATTTAGACATCCGTTTCCCGGAAATGCACCCACTGGGCTTTGTTGCTCCCAAAACGGCTTGAGCTCAAGGTGAAGAGCCCGAGACCTTCAAACATGGTGCCAACTGGTCCTCAGCATGTTTGGAGTTTGGCACTCACAAAATCGGTGTGGCCTGACCAGATCAGTGGCTTTTTTTTTGTGCTGAGATGCTGGTAGCGCTGGGATGGGTGGCTTTTGCATGCTTTTGCACGATTGGAGTATGTACTGCAGGATGCTGTTGGGGGACCCCAGTGGGTTTTGGAGTAGGTGGCACTGTTACTCAACAAGAAAGTGGGAGATGAAATCAACGGAAGATAATAGAAGTGTTGTTTGTGAGCGAGTGCACAACCAACGACTGGCAAGTAACAACCTCCAAGTGCGAAACATGTAAGAAACCTATATACAGTATATAGTAACTCTCCAGTTCGAGTTCGTTCACCTGTAATTAATAATAAAGAATCAACCGCCGGTCATTTGGCCAAGACTCACATGCCGGCATGATCACAAACTGGTTCAGGTAGAGTCTAACCCCGTGCAGAAACTGAAGGGACCTCCGGCCAACACCCACGGAAAAAAAATAGAACTCAAACCCCCCAGTGGAAACACTTTTTGTTGCGTGTCACGCGACGGCGTTCGGCTCCTGCAGTGTCCGCGGATTTGGGAGAACGCAGTGTGTCCAAGGAGAGTCGCACTGGCGATGTCTTTAATCAGACCATCCATGTATGGAATAGAACCCAGTCATAAATGGGGTTAATGTAGTGGTAAATGTATCATAATGTCAATTCCGTACATGGAGTGTTTGGGTTACGATCCATCTTCAGTTGGCTCGGCAAGCACACCCGATTTGTTCACCAAATGGCAAGCGCTTGCTGCGCGCTGAGGTGAAGCAGGAATGGAGTGCCGCTTGGAATGAGATCTCCTTGAAGGCAGCCTTCCTTTTACCAGCTCACGGGGACACAAAGGATGTCTTCCAGGAGAAAAGATCCGCGCCAAGCGAATCATGACCTGCGGCAAGGAAGCTGCATGGGATCTGGTAAAACCATGTAAAACCAATTCAATGAATACAACACCTTTTTGTTGGTGTTGCTGGGTTGTTGGGAGGAGTGGTCCAAGATGTCCGAGTCATAAAATCACCCCCAAACGAGAGGGAGTCTTGACAAATGTCATTGGGCTGGTGGTTTTGGGACGACAGGTCCACGAGCCATCCCTGCAAGTTCGACAGGGCACGGGTGCTTTGGGATGCGTCAAAGGTGACAAATGTATACAAATGTCGCTTTGGCCAAGACATTGTGAACAAGAAACACACTTCAAGAACCAATTTATACAAAGGAAGGAGCAAGGAGTTGGGTTGACAAGTCGTGGCCTGATGCTGGGCATGTTCAAGTGTAGAACATCGAAAAGGGGAATGCCCGAGTGTCGCAGACCCGGCCAAGAACGACGAGTTGTTCAAACAGACAGAGAAGATCACCTGGGAGGCCAGACTCTGACTCTCCTGGGGAAAAGCAAAGGAAAAACCAACGGGAAGTGACCAAAGTCGGTAGTAAGTCGGTCACCACCACAACTTCAGAAAAGCCACTGCCGCTGCGGACACTGGCAATCAGTCGGCCTGCGACTCCGGGGCAAGTGCAGCTGCAAGCTGGGGGGGGAGTGAGCCAAGTATGACATCGACTTGGGGTGCATCGATGACATGACTTGCCAGCTCAGTGCGCATCGATGACCTGCAGATCCCGTGCAACGCGAGCAGTGAGAGTAAAGGTTTGTGTTCCAAGACGCCAGTCATGCATAAGGCTTTGGAAGGAGAAGGGTACCACAAGGCATGTGGCAGGAGCTGGAGCCAACCAAATCCGAACTCCCAGACCATTTTTCGGCGCCCCTCAGTGTTTGTTTTTTCCGTTCCGGGACTTGGTAGCAACCGAGGCCTGGCATGACCCCACACAGTTGCATGCACCAACCTATGCCAGTAGGTGGTTAGGTGCATTCTTCAAAAGAAGACTTTCCCGCACGCAGCGCAAAGCTGCATCACAAAATGAGGTTGCAAAAAGACAAGCGACGAGTGAAAGGGGTAACTAAGTCACCAACTTTAAGCTTGAAACTACACCACGAGGGCGTAAGAAACAATATTACATGAGGCCTGGCATGAAAAAGGATTGACAAGGCAATGAAGAGGTTCAACGATTGACCTACTTGGGGGTCCGAAAGGGTCGAAGTGGAATCTGTTCTGATGCTTTTGCGCTGGCAGGAGATTGAGCTGGGATACTTGCCCAAGGAGTGGGAGGCCTGGCCTAGGGTAAGAGAGTTGTTGTGGCGTTTCATGGCGTTTCTGAGGCCACCCAAATACCACGGAGGCAAACTCGTTCAATTGTTTTTGCTATGATTGTTCTCATTTCAGGTGATGCAGGATTTCTCCCATGAATCAACAGCAAAAGCCATGCATGACCATCTACCCTTGATGCTGGCATGTTGTGGAGACCTCAAAAGCTGGAATTGCCTGTAGAAACAACGACCAACGATGCCAAGACTTTCAAACTCGTGTTTATACTTGAGCCTGGCATGAATGGAAGACCCAAGTAAGAAACCAAGTAAGCCCTATAGTCCCTAGACTGCTTTCCGGGATGTTTCTCATTCTTCCAATTTCCATTGTTTCATTTATGCCCACAACTACCGGCCCCGGGGCACCCGGGACCCAGTCAGCTCGTGGCTCGTGCTTCAGCCCGGCCCACTCCTCCACTCCGACTCCACTCCAGGTGGGCGAAGCGCCGTCGACCATCGAGCACTACTACGCCCCATTGATTCGCGTGCCCATCTTCCAGCCGCCCTTGGACTCGCACGCCTCGGTGCCTTTGGTGTTGGCACAGGCGGAGGGAGGAGGAGTGGCCGCCACGGTTGGGGCAGGTCCACCTGCGGGACACACCGTGTTGAGCCAATGCCGGTGATTTTGGGTTTGCTTTGGGGGGCAGCTACAAGCAGGCGTTGGCCGGAGGTGCGGGTGGATGGATATTGATGGGTGGTGGAGGTATATAAATAAGTCGCAAGATCATATTCGCAAAGAGTTTGGTTTGGATGAATGATGATGAATGTCCAGATGGGACACAAGAACTTCTTGATGACTACACAGGCAATGGAAAAGGATTTGCACACAACCCTTGTTTGGAACTTGCTCTTTGGTCAAGTAAAACATATTCATGCATGAGAGATAGAAAACCCCAAGCATGTCAGACAGATTAACCTCAGATGCTGAATGAAACTGGCTTGTTTTGAGGGGGTGTTTGTTTGCGTTTGCTGCCGTATATCATGACTGTGTCCAGGCGGAAGAGAGCTGATGATTGATCTGGGGATGGATTATAAGAAAGACCGTGCATAGTATAGTTTATACATAATTATATAATTTTGTATATATACACAGTAACTACAGACACACACACACGGATATAGATAGATAAATAGATAAATGGATAGATAGATAGATAGACAGAGAAAGAGAGAGAGAGAGACTTATTAGTTTTGATTATAGATTGACATAGTAAAACATTGAGCCCAGTGCTTTGGAGTCAATTCAACTCACCTGGCCTTGGATCCCATTGCTCGCCTGAGGATGGCATCGCCACTCGGATGTACCTGGCCGAGCAGGAGGACCACGGCCGTCATGAAGCGGGAGACTTCTGGTACGTCTTCCGGCCGGATACGTCTCGCGGCGGCCCGCGGCGATGCGAGGAGATACCAATTTGGATGAAAGACTTGTATGTTAGTATATATATATACATTTTGGAGTGTTTGGCAATGTTTATGCCTATATTTTTGTTTGACTGGTGCATAGTAGGGTGAGAATGGTGGAAAGGATCCCAAGGTATCCAAAGATTGCCTTCAGTTCAAAGCTTCAGTTCAAAGTTGCTTTGTCCAAGATTCTGAACAGAAAGAACACCTCCTTCGAGCAGGCAGTGCCGGCAGCCACTACATAAACTTCAGTGATGCTTCAGACGATATTTATGTTATTATTGTAATTATGGGAATGTATCACGGACTTTGTGTTTGTAGAAGTTTGGACATTTTCCGATTTATGCCTTCGGAACAAGCTATGCTCCGAAGGAAAAAAACGAGGACTGCCACACAGAACTCAAGAACCCCCAAACCTAAAACATCCTAAAGCAACAGATCATGCAAATCAACAAAGACAAACACACACATACAAAAAACGCAAGGCGTTTATACACACAATCACGAATATCACACAGACAGAAATGGTTTCAATCCCCTCGAAGCCTTCGGTGCAGAACATTGGTGAAACCGCCTTCAACACATGTCTTCCGCGGCACTGGGCCCAGCTGCTACGTCCTATTCCCAGACACGATACATGGGACTGCCATAGGACTGCCGATCAGGCCAGGGGTGGTTTGGGGGGTCAACGGGGCGGCAGTCCTATGGCAGTCCCAGACAGGTCGTGTTTGGGTAACCGTGCTTTGAGGTCTATGGTGCTTCGAGCATGCCCGTGGTGAACGCCACCATGCCCGAGTACCGCTTCTTTGAGAAGGACGGCGAATGGGTGCGCGCACCTAAGAGCCGACGAGCGCTGGCGCACATCGTGATCACCTTGGAGGACTTCACCAAATATGAGCAACTTGGATCTCTGCGTTTTGTTTGTTTAATGTTGTTTGGTTCTTTTTGCTTCGCGGGATGGGATGGCCATGTGCCAGAGATAGGAGGGGAAGCTGAATATATGATCTATTATAATTTCTCTCTTTATACATCATGTACTTGTATTGTATATGTATATGAATTATGTATTGTTGTATTGTATTTTTACGTGTTGGTGCTCTAAATTAAATTGACTAAATGCATGTTTGTCTTAAATCTACATTGAACCTACATGTGTGTAAACAACTATATCATGTAGTATGTTTTTACATATGACATAGGATCAACTACATATGAGTCAACTTGCCACCAAACAAGACAAGTAGTTGCGCTCAAAGTCAAAAAGACCATCGTTCAGCTTGGTCCTCAGACGGTCACAGATGCGTCGACTTCACTTTAGGCTTTAGGTGGCTTTAGGAGTCAACTGAGCTCAGAAGAGACGCTCGTCAGAGCCCACAGAAGGATACAGAAGGACTTACCCAATTCATGCACAAGGCTACCCTCTTACAGTTGATTGAGAGTAGATTGCGCCCATTTGTTTTGGACACTGACATTGTGGGGGTTGTGGTATCTTCTCTGAAACCACTGCATCTAAGGTATAATCATGTGGATTTCCGGGTTTTGTTTCAACTGATTCCAACGGACACTGACCTCAGGATGGGTGGAAAACACACCCGACCAAGACGTGTTCCACGCGGAACGCTCGCAGGTACCGAGTGCAGCCTGCCACTGGGCGGATGACAGCGATGGACGGATGACAGCGGTCGTTGTCCTTGTTGAAAGGTCTGGAAGGGATGTGTCTTCTGCCGTGCCGGGCCTTGTTATGGTCCATCATCCCTGTTTGGACAGTTGTGTGGGTGGTCTATAACTCTATGACTCTATGTGTACATATATATTAATGTACTATATTAGTATAGTTGTTTAGTAAAGTTATATATAAATATATATATAGATATTGAAACACGTATTGATACACATACTCTAATTCATGGTTCATGCACTGGCAGACGTCCTTGTATTTTCCTTTTTTCACGATTGGAATGGACATCCTCCGAGCCTTCCAGCTTCTCTACGTGGCCGTACGTGGCCGTACGGAAGGCCCTCCAACATCACATCGCCCGATTTGGGAGCACCGGGGAGCGCCTCGAAACACGCGGATTGACGCCCCGATGCACTCCAACAGGTGGAAAAGTTGAAAAAGCGGTTACATAATCTGTAATTTCCAGGGAAACTGAGGGTGTCATGCTTTTTCAGAAGTCCCTGTTGCACTTTCGTTGGACAGGGTAGATTTTTCCTCCGAGCGGGGAGTGGCAGCTCAATTTGATAGAACAAGTCTGAACTTCAGTGGGCTGGCTGGCTGTGTTTCTTCGTCCTGCCGCCATTCTGCAGTGCAAGGATTGGTTTAGAGTGGTGGAGATCAAGGACTAGTGACTAGGAGAGAAGGACTAAGAGACTACCTGCAGAATGCCCCTCAAGCATTCAAAGTTTGGGGAACAAATGGGAACAAACATGTACTTGCTTGGATCAGCATTTGACCACACAGAACATGTTTTGTTGCTTTCCAGTGGGTGCGCACTAATCCAGAGTTTCACTGATTGTTTTCAGCAACGCCTGCAATGAAGGTTCCTGTGCAGCTGCTTAGTGGGGAAGTTTTGGCGGAGCTAACGGTTTTGCCACTTACGACCGTTCGAGAGTTCAAAAGGCAAGTGCAGGAGCTACAGCCTTACAAAGATGAAGTCACACGTAGAGTCAGCCTCGTCGATGTGCTCCTGGGCGACAGGAAGCTACTGAATGATCATGAGACAGTAGAGCAAGCTGGTTTGTTTGCAGATGTGGCTGTGAGAGTTTTGTTCAGGGTGGCTGAGGCAGTGGAATGTGTCAGTAGTTCAGAAGCTGGCTTGCGCGGAGAGCCCTTGCTCATAGTGAAGATCCCAGACAATGCCAGAATGATTTCCAGCAGAGCTTTTGCAGGTTGTAAATCCTTGCTGGAAGTGACCATCCCTGATTCCGTGGTCGCCATACGTTCCTTTGCCTTTGCTGGTTGCCGATCCTTGCTAAGTCTTCGCATCCCAGAGTCTGTGACCACGATTGAACATGGCGCCTTCTATGGTTGTAGCTCCTTGACATTGACCATTCCCAGCAGTTGGGCTGACCGATCTTGTTCTTTCAAGGGGTGCCATAGGATTCTGGTGAGGCCAGACACTGACGCGGATCCGGACCTACGTGCCATGCCCGCGGAAAACGAAAACGATGCGTGCCATGCTCACGGTCGTTTCGCACTAAGAGTAGGAACAGTACGACGCCCCCGGGTTTTTTTCTGCCACTTCGGCAGCTTAGCCTCGAGGTTTCTCGGTTTGGGTCACCCAAGACCTTTCGAGACGAAGACCGGTTTCATTCCACACGACTAATGGGACTGGCATTATAGACCTACATTGGGGTGGTTTTGGGGGGTCAATGTAGGCATATATATGGCATACATGGAGCCTCTGGGATTGATGGAACTTTTGATGACCACGTTTGGGTAGCCGATGGAAGCCTATGGTCCAACGACTTCCAAAAACGTAGACGCTTCTGTCATGTCATTGCCTTCGCAAGTTTCCACTGGTATGATATTGTCTGCGGGCCACCTGTTTGTGTTGCTTGGCTATGTGGATACAAGGACTCCCAAGAAGAGATTCCCAAAGAACTAAACAATACTAAACAACGTGTGCTTACACTTCTATAATTAATGTTTGCTTCCTTCTCATCCGCTTGTAACATGACGTGCCATCTATTCGTATAGGAAGAAGCAACTCTCGAGCGACAGGTCCGTCCAAACGCTGGTGATTGGTGAACGGTGATGAACGGTGAACTGTTGTTTGATCCATTTTTTCTGGTCTGCATGCACACAGGTTTCATTCCATTGGCATTTGGATGCATTTGGGAGATCTACTAGGTCTAGGGCCAGGTTTGACGCAGAAGGAAGGCGGCCAGAAAGCCGAAGGTTTAAGTGGTTGATCATCGCTGGTTTGGTGTGAAGAGGACCTGTTTTCTGGGGAGTTCGTGTAGGGTGTGACTCATGACTAACAGTCGGTAAAGCCTGAATCACTCTTCTTCTTTAAAAGGCCCTTCACTAACTACCATATAAGACCTGGAGCCTCAGTTCGTACCTCGGAAAATGGGTACAAGTACCCGTCTTTATTGGGTCATGTCACTGTTCCATTATCTAAGGTACTTGAAGTCGGGTCCCAGGTAAAAATACTGGACATGGACTATGATATCCAATCTTTCTTTGTGTATGACACACGTTTCTTCAGATTTGCATGTTGGACATGTTTGGCATTCAGGTGATTTACCCTTTGCTCTCGCTCTTCAGTCAGGCCGGGCCGTTCTTTCACGCCTTCGGATCGGTGCCGGCGGCGTTGGCGCTGGGCGCCGGAAGGTGGGCATCACCACGGTTGGAGGAACTCTGTTCAGACCCGTGGTCCAGGGTTCTCCAGTTTTGACCCACTTCCATGTGTTATCCATGTGGGGTTTCAGTGAGGATATAGGTCAGCCGATCAGAGATATGTTCCAGACATAATGGTTCTATATAGGTGGACTTGGACTAGATCCTTGGCCAGGAGCCACGCTTTGGGGTGCCGAACTTGGAGGATAGGGATGGGACGAAACACCGCCCCGATATGTGACTCTTGGTGGTTTCATGTTTGTTCCCAGAATTCCCTGGTGGTTTGCTGCCACCCTTTGAGGATCCATGAGGATTCCAATCCTTGGCCCTTCTAAGGGTAAGGCGAGAAGCAATGCCCTGTGAGTGATGCATATATACCTCGTCACCCCAAAACTACGCCAAGGTGAGCGGTGTGTGCGCGCTCTTTTGTTGGGCCTTCTTCAAGAGTCCGCTGATGGGCCGGAAACTGTTCCTTGACTGTCCAGTGATGTCCGGGTGAGAGGTAAAGGATGGTAAAGGGCTTGTTGTTTGACTGGTGCTTAGTAAGGGAATAAGGGAACCAGCCCCTAAGAGGGACTCCTTTGGATCCCGAGTCACTTCGATCGGTTCCGGTGCCTGGGAGGAGTATGGCGGTGGGACGTCCCACGCACTGGCGTTCGCGGTGTGGGGAGCGGCCTTGGGAGTCCAAGGCACATGTGAGAACAGCTACAGCTGTAGCCTTGCATGTGTGGTTTCAGGACTCACAGATTTTGAGCAGCACCCATTGACAGAGCACATGCAGCTTGCAAGATCGAGCAGCAGAACATCAGCAGCAGCTTCCTTGACGGTCTGGCGGACCTTCTTTGAGTCCAAGGGGGGTGATCATGCAGGAAGAACCAGACCGGCACTCATGACTGGTAGACCGGCCACGACATGTCCACCTTATATATCACCCCATAAACATGACCGGGAGACCCCAAGGGTGTTGTTTGGACCCTAAGGGGTGGTTGATAGACACCCCAGTAGCCACCAATTGGCACCCCTTAGGATCTCCTGGTATCTAACTTCTACAGTCTTCAAGTGTTGAGTTGGCCCAAGCCCTACCTACTTGTGACTGGAAGGTGGTACCGTTTTCTGCGCCACTCCGTGTGGTGATTCCTCCGTTGTCCCAGGATCGCCGAGGCGGAAGAGGGGCCGTCGCCCGTGTCCGAAGCCGGGCGGCGGCCTGGCCGTGTGGCGACGCACCAGGGCGCAGAATACCGGACCATTGCAGATGCACTTGGGCGGATGAGAGACGTCAAGAGGTAGGACACGAACCGGAGAACAAACAATGAAGCTGACTCATCCGGGTCTTCTGAGTGTTTTTGGGGGTTATTCAAGCAAAACAGCATGTGCCCAACCAAATGGTCATTATCTTGTTGCCTTCAAGCACTTCGTGCATCACTGCGATGTTCGCAACATCGTTCCAAAAGCGACTTTCCCTGACCGGACCGTGACGCTTCCCCTACTCTTGACAAGCTGCAAGGCAAAGCATGTTGGGGAGCACCCGACATCATGTTGCCTTGTTTTGGCCGAAGGTCGGAGACAATCATGCAGCAATAGTGGAACCAACCGAGGTTAAGTGACCCGAAAAGGACCCGTCACCTGGGGTACCTATATATTATATATTTATATATATGGGATATAGGGTTCTTCTAACCTTTGTTGGAAGGTATTGAAACAGGTTTCGACCCCCGAAAGACCCCTGACAAAGACGACCGAGGCAGCAGTTCAACGCAGCGGGTTCTCCCTGCATACTGATGCACACCCAAATTAAATATTCCCTTGAGGACTGAGCTGCGGTGTGTCATTGTTGCATGAATGGAAGGTTGATGGACATGTGACATGTTTGATCAAAAGCTAGAGGCCCCAAACAATTTCTGCGACAATCTGAGTAGCATCCACCCCTTGCCACCAGTGTTTTCTTCGAACTTGTGGAACAGCATGTTCGGGGGATTCAGGTGTCTATATAAGACTTCTAAAATTCATGAACAGTGTTCCTTTCCTTCGTGACCGCTTCAGAAGAGTCATTCAGAGTCTGAGCTTAAGGAGGTTAGTTGGGAACACCATGGAACACCCAAAGCATCCCTAAGCCTTTGTAACTTCGGGGTAGATGGTACCAAGGGGCTGGTGTAGCGTTCCGGAATGGGCCGTAGCGCTAGACTGAGCGAAAAATAAATAAGAACAGCACTTGGACAGCCTGCGTACATTGCAATTATCGAAAGCAAGACATCACCACTGTTCTTGTTGTGTGGTTGTTGGCCACAATTCTTGGACAAAGGATGACTGATGACCAAAGCATCTTTCGATGGGAATTTGTTGCATTGAGGACACCCGCCCGCTAAAAAGACTCACTCCTATGGATCCATCCACATACCTTCTGCGAAGGTGATTGGAGACTATTTATGTCGGCGCCAGGAAGGCCGGCAGTGGATCCCCTGAGGAATATTGAAGGCCGGCAGGTTTCCTCACCCTCAAGACCTGAGGGATGATCCTTCTTGGCCGCTGGCCGCTGCAAGAGATGTTCCCTGCCCCAATGACATGAGCACTGGCATTCTCCTTTGCCTCATCAGTACCCAACATACACAAAAAAGGATCAGAATACGACTTAATACTTATATATTACATGCTTTCATGGCATGACCTGTCTTGGGCTGCATTTCCCTGTCTTCGGCCACACCTTTTCCTTTTCCCAGTGGCGTTTCTGCGGGCGCCGAACCCCGCGACCGAGGCAGAAGAGGAGGAGCAACAGGGCTTGCTCGACGCCTCGACTGCTCGGAACCCGGAGACGTCGCTGTTGGAAGCTGCGGAAGGTGAAGGGCTGTGAGCGGCGACTGACGTCTCTGTGCACGGTCGACGTCTCTGCGGAGGAGAACCAAAAGGGAGCGGCCGAAGGCGACGGTGTGGAACGGAACCGGCGGAAAGGGAGCAACACAAAGCGCACCGGTGGGGAGTTCGGGGCGGAAGGCAGATGGGGCAGATGGGGCAACTGGTAGGTTTGGACTTGAGTTCAGAAGGGAATCTCTTTGGTCTTCAAGGTCGCTTTAAAGGTTCGACTGTTTCAGTCTACAGGTTCGGACTCAGGTCTGGTGATACCAGGTAGCTAGGTGAATGCCAAGGTGTCTGGGTTTTTTCGATGGTGCCAGTCCCGAGGGCTCCTGGCCTACCTCCGTTTCGAAGATGGTCGGGATGGGTGCCAGGCAGGTCTAACCACCGAACCTGAGGATATTGGACAGGAACCCATTAATTGTCCAATTCGGTTCCTGACCCTCCATAGCTGGAATGCTTCAATTCCCATCTTTGCCGTGTTGCCGAGATACAAATGGCAGAGTATGTGGCGCAGCAGGCGCGGCGAAGTGTGTCGTCGACCACTGGTACAGCTGGGCGTGCGAGAAGGTTTTTTTTGCGTGGGGATTATGGTTCCAAACTGATGCGTGCTGAGCTGGTTGGCCATCGTCCTGAGCTGCTCAGGGATGATACATTTGTGCTAAAAGAACCTGGTCATGCCATCGCTTCAAGAGATTAGATTAGATCCGATTCCCCTGTCCCCGAAGAATACCACAGGCAATCACCGAAGTGGAGAGTGCCACTTGGTGTTTGGAAGCGTTTGGGGTCCAAAAGCAAGAGAATGATGAAAGACATCCATTTTGCAACAAAAGCATCGATCGTCAGACTCTGTCAAGTCCTTTGTTGTTGATGCTTCTTTGGCCGATGGAAACGTCATGGAAAGCCAGGCATTTGTATTCAAGGTCCGGTTTAATGTCCAGCTGTCCGTGTTGGAGTGGCCGAAGACTGCCACCGTGCCAGAACTGGTCCACGAGCAAAGATCAAGAAGATTGCAAAACCGTCAAGACATATCAAGACCCAAGAACAGTTTACTACCAGACTAAGAGCCGCGATTGAGCTTGCCTTTTTGGAATAGGGTGTTTGGAAGATTCTTAAAGAAAGCATAACAAAGCGGTCACAGTCCCCTTTCATCCCTTTCCACATCCAGCAGTCAGTGTTTCCAAATGACCATGATAAATCTGTTCGTCTCCCTTTTCATTTGGCATTTGGAAACACCGGGTCGCCGGGGAAGAAAGACTTTCATTCCGTTCATCCCTTTCCCCATGACCCTCTCTTCTCGTCTTCCAGGAGCGTTCCAGGAGCCCTGCCAAAGACTACGACGAGCCGGTGTCGCACACGTCGCTGCCTCCAGCAGCCGCCGGGGATGCCCAGCGAAGGACGAAACGAAGTACAGTTGATTCATGTTGATTCATGTTGATTCTATCAAGACCCTTATACTTATACACAATCCAAGTAACAATCTATATAGAATACCATTCATTGTTATATACCATTTGTCAACTAATGCAAGTGCTAATGAACATAATGATGGAAGTGGATGGCATGACCCCTTGGATGACCATATTCCTCTACAAACAGGTGTTGTTCTTTTTTCCATTATTATCTCGGTGCACTTGAGCTTATTCCTGTTCGGCATTCCGGAAGCTACTAAGATTTGCGGTCTGACACGTTTTCAAGGCGTCTTCCGACTGCTGCAGATCCAAGTTCGAAACATAAAACATGTTTATTTGTGCACTGTCCTGACAGCTTAAAGATGTCAGTTTGCCCTCAAAAGTCCAACAGAAACAGGTTGCAACAACCATATGCATCCACGGACCCCATCATACAACGCCATACAACGCTAACGTTTGGTCCGGATGATCTCCTTAGGAAGCGCCTGCACCGACGGCTGCGGCCGTGGTGGCGGTGCAGAGCGCCGTCCTTGGCTCTCCCATGGGCATGGAGAAGGCGGCCCCTGTTACATGGCAAATACTAGTAGCTAAGTCCCTAGGGATCCAAGTACCTTCTTAGAAGCTACTTGGACCCTCCAAACCTACATAACAGTGCCTCCAATCACCTTCTGAGAAGGTACTTGGATCCCTTAGGAGTGCATCGCTACTAGTAACAGGTGGCACTCTTAGGAGCCTCATGGAGCCCTCGCCAGGGCTCCCCCTGTTTTTCAGCACGTTGGATGATCATTTGGCGGCCGATAGGGAATGGGATGCTATGACTTATGGGCTTGTCCTACTACCTGTGACAGTCAGTCCACAAGAATATCAATATCATGATGTTTGAACAAGCCCTTTACTAACCATCATCATCCAACCCTGGCCTCGTCAACACTGTGCCACTGCCAGGCACATCCGTCCACCCCAAGGAAGTCTGTGAGGCATTGCGCTACATCTCCTGGCTTGGCAGACAAGGGGCCCGCTCGGGAGCCCAGACGGCATGCAACGAAGAAGGCAGATGGTTTGTAGGAACATGCTTTCACTTCTTTCTTGGGTTTGTCTAGAGAGAGGCCACACAGATCTTTAGGACGTCTTTGATGGTGGGATGTCCTCTTGACGGCGAATTCTTCAGTGCCAACTCAGTGATTTGACCCCCTGGAAATGACAAAGTTTGTTTTGTTTGTTTTTGATCTAAGACTATTTGGGCAATGAGAAGGTTCAGAGCTCACTTCAACATATGTGATGTTGGCATTTGCAATGGTTGGTCGGTTTGCTCGAAGCAACGGAGCATCTCGAAACAAATTGCTAGTGCCTTCCAGTTACATTATCCCTGGTGAGAATTTACTCAGATCCTGCAAACCCACCTCAAACACCTCTTTTTCATGTTCACACATCCACCAATCTACTCCAGCACATCTGGAGTGTCAGGGGAAGGGAATGGGGGCATAGCTGGATCCCAAGATATCGTGGGGGAGTACTGCCGTCATTCCATCGCACAGGTTTGCATGGTTGATGAATGCACCCACACGACAACAGAATGAGCATGAGTCATTCCGAATGAACCAGCAAGCTAATCCTTCAACCAGTGTTTGTTGTTTAAGCTTTGCTTCGTCACCGTGTCAGCGCCACTCAACGAGACAAACACCAACGTGACCTTCTCATATGTGGACGTTGCCTTGATTGCGCCCAGAACCCTTTGGGCACCGAGAGCGAGAACGGCAGCTCCTTGGGGCTGAGCGAAGGGCTGCCCTTCACCAGCGCCAAGCGAGGACCGGTCGACCGTGTGGCGGGTTCGCGTATCGAGACGGGAAGGTCTGGTCACGTATAGGGGTGAACGACTGGCGGCCAGTCGTTGGCAGAAAAACATCGGAGAGATTGAGATCTTCATTCGAGAGGTCCATGGTGGTTTGCAGGGCAGATCTGGGACAAATCTGACATGCAAGGGCACGGATCGGCACGGAAAGGCAAGGCATGTCTGGATGTTTGGATCGATGGCGATGTTGATCCATGCAGGATGTGATGCGCGGTGTAAGTTTGAGGCATGTTCCTGGAAGATCATGGGCCTTGGCCATTGGGATCTCATTGTGAGCCGAGTATGGGTGAGTAGGGGAAGAGAACCCTCATACCTGAACCAGCCGCACGTCATTGAATGATGGCCATTGGCTCTGGCGCGAGGCGCCACCTTACCTGGCGGATTGGTGGCCGTCACCTCCGACCCGAACGCCCCTTGTTGCAGCAAGATGAAAAGCAGGGGGTGCAGACTTTAAGATCAGAAGTGGGAATCTGTGGGAAAGACTGGGGGACATACCTAGGACCAGGACCCAAATGACTCTTGATGACCCTAGTCCACTGAAGATTCTGTGGGCAAGATTTCGGGTTTCCAGGAAACCCTTTCCCTCAAGATCGTTCCCAACGTGAGAAGTTCCAAATGCTGGAGGCCATTGCTACTAGGGTGGAGGCCGTTGGACTTTCAAACACCAATGCTGTACGGACCTACAGGGTTGCTGCAGAGTTTCTGGACGCCGTGCCGCGAGTGAACTTTCGAGAAGTTGTTCACACTCCCGCGAACCACGGGTAGCTATACTCAGACTTATACCAGAGAACCACGAGAACCACAAGTTAGAGAAGGAGTATGTGGACATGTGGCAGATTGTTGTAGGCGGATCCCTTTGCTAGGGGCCATGAGTAGTAACTTGAGCCCTTTCCAGTTGGACGTCACCAACTAACTGGCGTCACCAACCCTCAGCCATGAACCTTCACAGCATGTCTTAGGAAGATTTCAGCGATTTTGCCACAACAACAATGTGTTGCAGGCGGTTTCCTTTTTGAGATGCGAGGAACTGCGGTTTCGATGGAATCTCGGACTTCCTCAGCTTTTGTCCGTTGGCAGTTTGCTGAAGGTGCACCAATCTCTTTCAAATGATGGGAACCCACAAAATGGACATGTCAGTCAACAGGTCAGACATGAGTTTGTGCCTCGGATACGGCAATGTAGCGAACATCTCTAGCCACCAAACGTCTCCAAAACATTCCAAAATGGAACATCATATATGTGTATATAATTATATATAGTAGTTGAACTTGAACTATACTTAAACACCAGCTACCAAGAAAGGAACTGCCTACACCACCTTTTCCTTCTATCACCTTTTGCCTACATCCGGACTCTCGGCGACCCCCTCTCGAGGCTATCTCTCGGGGCCGCCTCAAGCGCGTTCGCGAGTTCTGGTGCCAGACCGAGCCACCTCCCGTGGAAGAGATGCTCGGCACCGTGAGGGGCCTGATCGTGTCGGGCCCAGGGGCGGTGCGACCGGGTGACATCTGGCCGAAAGGGGTCGATGGTCAGTGGGTGAAATTGGATCTTCGTGCCCGGGATGGTGAAATCTGGAAGATGCTGAGGATGGAGGGACTTGCTGAGGATGGAGGGATCCAGGAAGCTTTCTCACCGTATTGTGGGAGGGGCTGGGGGCTACTCGAAAGGGTAGACTCGACCTTGAGACCCGTTGGGTTTCCAGGGCAAGGAACGTTACAAATTCCTCTTTCCCTAGACCCT